AGATTCATCCCATTTGTGAGGAATCATACAAAGCTTAATGGAAAGAGATTCCTCCAGGCAATACCATTTCTGATATGCTTCAACCCAGCTCTAACCAAAGGAAAGAGCAAGGAAATTGGGAAATTATAAGTTTATGTGAGAGCAATGGAAGACTTCTAATACCAATTACTGTCTCGGAAGTAATGAGATGAGAACCCTTTTTATCTTCCCATCATCAAACCTTTATCTGAGCATCTACCCATAGTTTCTACCTATGTGCCTATGAGAGAGGATGAATGCTCATTTCTCTTAAAGGCCAGTTTCTCCACTGGCTTTCAGAATTTGATTCCCTCTCATTTCCTCAAGGACCTAAGTCCAGCAATAACCACCTCCATGGGACGTTATCAATTTCTCTGTCACCACTGAATTATGCCCAGCAGCGAATAAACATAGTTTAATATTGTCCGTCTCATGTTCTCCTCCAGTTGCTGCTTCTCTGCTCCTCAGTTAAAATTTCTTAGAAGAATGGCCCACAGTCTCTGCTTTACTGACTCCCATTCTGTCTTCAACCCACTTGAACTGAGCTTTTCTCTCAGCCACTCACTGAAACAGCACTCATCTAGGAAACCAAAGGACATCATCCTGCCAATAAGTAAAACATCTGTCCTTGTTTTACTTATTCACTCAATAGCATGTGACTGCTTATCACTTCTCTTTCTTAAAATGCTTCCTGGGAGATTTCCTGACATACTTTCTTCAGGGTCTCAGGTATTCTCCAGGTGATCTCACCAAATCTGACAGTTAGAACAAATACGGCTTTTACCCTGAGCTCTCCCCAGAGCTCAAGATTCAAATATCCAATTGCCTACTTCTCAGCTACATTCATATAGAAAACTCCATTCCAGTAGTCCTCAGCTCATTAAAAAGCTCTACCAGTATCTACACGGTGGCTGAAAGCAGCAACACAGAAGTGATTTCTAATTTCTCATTCTCTCACTTACACCACATCTAATCCATCACCACGTTGTGCTGAATCTACTTCTAAAATATATCCCAAATCTCTCCACTGCTTGCACTCCCATTATTATACAGTCTCTGCTTTACTGACTCCCATTCTGTCTTCAACCCACTTGAACTGAGCTTTTCTCTCAGCCACTCACTGAAACAGCACTCATCTAGGAAACCAAAGGACATCATCCTGCCAATTATCTGTCCTTGTTTTACTTATTCGCTCAATAGCATGTTACTGCTTATCACTTCTCTTTCTTAAAATGCTTCCTGGGAGATTTCCTGACATACTTTCTTCAGGGTCTCAGGTATTCTCCAGGTGACCTCACCAAATCTGACAGAACAAATACGGCTTTTACCCTGAGCTCTCCCCAGAGCTCAAGACTCAAATATCCAATTGCCTACTTCTCAGCTACATTCATATAGAAAACTCCATTCCAGTAGTCCTCAGCTCATTAAAAAGCTCTACCAGTATCTACACGGTGGCTGAAAGCAGCAACACAGAAGTGATTTCTAATTTCTCATTCTCTCACTTACACCACATCTAATCCATCACCACGTTGTGCTGAATCTACTTCTAAAATATATCCCAAATCTCTCCACTGCTTGCACTCCCATTATTAAAACTCTTAAACCAATTAAAGGATTAGACTGAAGTGGCTTTAATGCCAGGTGGCCTATGATCACATAAGCAAACCAAAATCTAAGCCTGTAAATACTTCCAGGTTTCAACACTGAAACCTACAAACAACTAGTCCCAATAGCCAACTGGGCTTTAAACTATAACCAATCAGTAACTTCCTTGTTTCGCTTCTGCCTTTTCACTCTAGGAGTCTTTCCCCAGCTCCTGCTAGTGAAAAGCTTCTAAATGATCCTAGGGTTGGCCCTGATCAATTTGAATTGATTTTTGCTCAAAGAAAACCCCCCTAAAATGTTTAATATGCCTTGGTTTATCTTGTAACACCATCCTAGTATAGGCCACAATCTCCTCTTCCTTGAATTGAAGACTATTACTCGCCTTTTAGAATCCATTCTCACGTTCTTTCCAGCTTCACATCTCAGGCACTTGTTTCTCTAATTAATATTCTAAACTCCTTACTGAAGGATAGTAGAATATGCCACGTGAAAATGTGCCTCTTTTGCATAAGGATTACTTTGAGAAACTATAAACACAGGCATTCTGAACACAGGGTGGAAGCTATCTTTTGTAAGAGAAACAGACATTAGAATGGGGGTCTATACCAGGAAAAGAGCCATCTATCATTAGGGACAACTTTTTCACCTGAGAGACTTATGTCTGCCAACCAGTTCCTCCTCTTACCTTCCCCTGAGTCGCCTTCTGCCCCAGAAGCATCAGACTCCTCCATCCCTTTTTTAGGCTCAGGATGGTATGTAAGCCCCAGCAGCCTGGCAGTCTTTGGCATCCCACGTCTTTCTGGGGCTCACATATGTATGAAATTAAAATTGCATTTTTTTCTCCTGTTAATCTGTCTATGCCAATTTAACCCTTAGACCAGTCACAGAACCTATACGGGCAGAAGGTAAAGCTTTTCCTCCTCTACACTACCATGCTTACAAGACCGTTTAAAAGGCAGGTCTGATCTCCTGAGCTTCTCCCCAACTTGGCATGAAACACTGCTCTTCCCCGCTTGCTCACTACCCCACTTAAGATTAGTGGTCTTCTTTCCACTCCTTCAGCATGCCAGTTTCATATCTAGATGAGAACTTTCGCAGGATAGGAGTAGCTCCTTATCAAGTGGACTCAAGAAAACACTATTCTAAGCTATAGAAAGCCAGTAATAAATGATCATATATTTTATGAATCCATTTATATAAAATAACCAGAATTGGCAAATATATATAGACAGAAAGTATAAACCACTCCTGCTGGTTACCAGGAGTTTTAGTGCTTTGTTTGGGTGTGTGTGTGTACGTGTATGTGCCTGTCCTTACCCAGAAATGGAGAATGACTGCTGAGAGAAAATGGGGTTTCTTTTTGGAAGGAATAATCTCTATTTTTGGAGAGACAGTAGTGATGGTTGCCAATTCTATGTATATGATAAAACCCAGTAAACTGTATACTTTGAAAGCATGACTATTGTGGGATGTGTATTATGTCTCAATAAAACTGTCGTAAAAAAAGAAAATAACTAAAGACATTAGTAGGTTAATCTTCCCATGCTCCTGCTGCTGTGTCTAAGTCTCTTCAGTCGTGTCCGACTCTTTGTGACCCCATGGACTGCAGCCCATCAGGCTCCTCTGTCCATGGGATTCTCCAGGCAGGAATACTGGAGTGGGCAGCTCTGCCCTCCTCCAGGGTATCTTCCTGACTCAGGGATCAAACCTGCATCTCTTATGTCTCCTGCAGTGGCAGGCAGGTTCTTTACTACTAGCATCACCTGGGAAGCCCAATCTTTCCATACCTTGACTGATTTCCAAAAATGTCATATTTTCAACCACAATTTATTCTACTTTTTGTTAAGTACTAGGAACACAAAGATGAATGACATGGACCTCCGCCCTCAGGAAGTTTCCAGATTAGCAGAGGATGTTCTCCATAAAGCCTTGCCAAATATGTGCAGAACACTTTACTCTTTGGACATTCAGACAGCATTACAAAAGAGGGGTACATAACATATTTGTAAAAATAAAGAGAAATCGCTCTGAACCGCTAATCAAGAGGATAAACTATTTTGTGACTCCAGTTTTATACCCTATACACACTTAAGAACATTTAGTAATCTTGGAGCCACAATCACTACACCAATCATTGCCATCAGGAACAAGCTTCCTGAGCATCTGCAGCTCAAGTCAGAATAAAGCTTGTTCTCTTTTTTCCCCCCATCTTCCTTCCCCTTGTCTCTATTCTATTTCCTGTTGACTTGTGATAATTAGGTAAAAAAGTGATGGGTCCTGACTGATACTGGACAGCTCAGTGATGGGATAAGCCTAGTGTTTTCTGACACACTTCCTCCACGAGATGCCTCATGTGGAACGAGACAATAGCCTACTAACTTCTGTATTCTAAGCACCTGCCACGAGGTAGGAGGGGTCTGCTGAGTAAAGACAGTATTTCTGTTGCACTGACATTACATAAAGCAGGCTTTGACTGTACTAATACCACTTTAATTCTTTTCCTTCTGGAGACCTCACCCTTTAACTTCGTGACAATATATAACCATATATGACAAATAAACGGGTATCTCATGATTCACCTGAATTTTGAAAATGTACAGGAGAAAATAAGAGGGAAGAATGGACAGGTGGTGTCATTCCAACTCTTTTAAATAAAGCTTATTTTCTTGATAACTGAGTTGAAGTTTGTACATAAAATAACCTTGCTTGTAAAAGGAAGAAAGCTAAAGAAAGTTGCTAGGTTGAAAGCCACTCAGATATGGTTTAGCTGCAATTGTTTACCAATCAAGAGCCTCTTTGTATCAATCTCCGTTTTCAGACTGACTTGGGAGTCTTGGGCAAATCACTTAAACCTCTCTCAACCTCAGTTTCCTCCTTTCTAAAACTGGAATAGCAATCATCTCTAACCTGTCTCTCAGGACTGTTACATAGTTAAATGGGAAAGGAAGTATGCAACAAGGCACACATAATCCAGAACACAATATATTATTACTATATGTGCACACCTTCCATTCATTTCAAGGCTTATACACTTTATGCCCCATTCATATACTGCAAGTGTGCTGGTGTCTCTTACCTATAAAGTATCACATCGTATTTTTCTCAGAGAAGGAAATGATCTTACTGACCCTTTACTAAAAGTATTGATACATCCCAATTCCTTAATATTCTTAAATCTTCAAAAATATTAAGCTACTTGCTAAACTCTCTGGTTCCAGTATTATGATTTCTTGATAAATGTAACCCCAATTGTAACAAACAGGTATCAGATGAAGCTTTTCAAAAGTTCTATTAAATCTATGAATGCTACATTTCAATTCTCTGGTTCCTCACAATGGAACCTGAAGTTGTCTTCCTGGTAATAAAAAACCACTCACCTTTGCTGCACAGGCTCGTATCACCTCCTGAAAGAAATACAATAAAATAAGTAGAGAGATATTCATAATTTCATTTAAAAATATCAATTCTTTTTAACACATTCAACTATTAATCTTTTAAAAACCAAAATCAACATCTGGGAGAGTGTTTTTTAACCTATCACATGCAGGTGTCACTCTGCACTTTTTCCAATGAGCTGGGAAGGGTGTAAAATGAAGAGACTCAGTGACATGACTTTGGTAAATCTAACTTGCTAAAAGAAAAGGCACTGACGAACAAGACTCTGGAAGGCCCACATGTACCTGCCCGTGTCTCTTCACAGGAGAAAAGTTGGTCTCCTTAAATCCAGAAATTGCGAAGGGACATACTCTACATCTAAAGGATATTAGTAATCTCAGTCACTATAAGGAGGCAGTAAAACTGACTGGGACGTGGGATTCTGACAGCCTGGACTAAATCTCAGCTCCAGTGTTTCCATTTGTGTAAGGCTGGCAACACTGCTCGATCTCTGAAAGCCGCAACCAGAATATGGTCTAAAATGGGGATAATACTAGCATCTATGTTATAGGATGGTTTTGAGGGTTAAATACAATGAACATGTAAGACACTTAGCACAGTACTGGGGATTCATTACGCTGGTTGCTAACCGTAATTGAACAGGTGCTGCTGCTGCTGCTAAGTCACTTCAGTCGTGTCCAAATCTGAGCAACCCCATAGACGGCGGCCCATCAGGATCCGCCGTCCCTGGGATCCTCCAGGCAAGAACACTGGGGTGGGTTGCCATTTCCTTCTCCAATGCATGAAAGTGAAAAGTCAAAGTGAAGTTGCTCAGTCGTGTCCGACTCGTAGCGACCCCATGGGCTGCAGCCCACCAGGCTCCTCTGTCCATGGGCTTTTCCAGACAAGAGGACTGGAGTGGGTTGCCATTGCCTTCTCTGAAATAGGTGTTAACTATTACCAATTATTATAAGATGAAATCTCCCATGGGGTAGAGAAAATTGATCATTTTTTCCCCAAAACTGGCATAGAGTATTTTAATTAATTAATTTCTATTTAAAATTTTTTCAGCCACATCATGTGGTACATGGGATTCTTAGTTTCCCAACCAGGGATCAAACCTATGCCCCCTACATTGGAAGCACAGAATCTTATTCTACTGGGCCACCAGGGAAGTCTCTAAAGCATTTTTTAAACCCATTCAAACCCTATGACTCTGTGATCACTGACCTAGATAGCAGGTAAATTTTTAAAAGGGAGAATGGTCTTGAGTGCTCAGGCAGCTAAGAGGTATACTTTTCATTATAAGATATTTAAGTTTATAGATCAACTTTTTGTAGGACTGCTTACTCTGAGCAGGTACCCCAGATTCTGAGGAGCTCTAGATATACTGATAAGACCAAATTTCTGGGTCTGAAACCTTAGAAAGAGCAGTGTCACTGCTCTCAGATTCTGTCTACCTGAGAGGTCTTCGCTGGGTTGCAGAGCCATGTAGGTGACGCTGCGGTGGTATGGCACAGTGCTGGCTCTGTTAGGTATGAAACAGTTAGCTGAGTTCTATTATGAGTAAATGATAAAGCTACCAAGAACAGCAAATTATCTATTTTTGGCAACTTTCACTCATTCTCGAGTAAACATCTATGAAATGTCTGTGGAGCTGAACCTATTATGCAAAATTCACACATACACAAATCACACCCTAAACTTGAATTGTATTTTCTTAGAAAAACATTCCTTCTGTGGTTACTAAGAAAGAAGTATATTCAGGGATACAGTCTTATATAATATAGAAGTAATATAGTTTTCTCTATTAGATTTTTACATAGAAGACCAATGACAGAGTCTCTTCTAAACTAAGTAAGTCTCTTTAAACTAAGTAACAGAAACCTAACAGAAAAAGGAATTTGGGGTCTACTAAAATGGAGAAGACTCTTGAGAGTCCCTTGGACAGCAAGGAGATCAAATCAGTCAATCCTAAAGGAAATCAACCCTAAATACTCACTGGAAGGACTGATGCTGAAAAGCTCCAATACTTTGGCCACCTGATGCAAAGTGCCAACTCATTGGAAAAGACCCTGATGCTGCGAAATGTTGAAAGCAAGAGGAGAAGGGGGTGACAGGATGAGATGGTTGGATGGCATCACCGACTAAATGGACATGAGTTTGAGCAAATTCCAGAAGATAGGAAAGGACAAGGAAGCCTGACATGCTGCAGTCCACGGGATCGAAAAGAGTTGGACAAGACTTCGTGACTGAACAACAATAAACACAGTTCAGGAAATACGAGAAAAGGCACTGTGACCAAAGGCGGGAATCGAGTCAACCTAAACGCCCGCAAGACGTGTAAAGAACGAAGCTTCTGTGGGAACAAAGATGACGTTTTGTTTTTACTCCCATTCGTACTACTTACATTCTGAGGGAAAACACTCTGCAGAGAACATTTGAAAAAAAGTTCAAAGAATTCTCTTAACACGGGAAATATATGGTTTTACAAAACCACAGCATGTAGACAAAGCTTTCACTTCCAAAGGAAGCCTCGATCTACCTCAATCCCAAACCGTACATCTGAATAATTTTTAAAAGGAAAAGTTTAGCAAAAGCTAAATAAATCAATGATTCTAAGACAAATAAGCTTTTCTCTTATAATAAATTATCCATTTACTTCCCCCTTGCCTTTGATTTCATATCTTAAAAAATATTTTCCTGAAATTTTTTTTTTAATTTTTCCTGTCCATCTACTTTCATTTGTTCTTACATCCTTTCATTTATCTGAGGATGACAGCTCTAAAAGATGATGCAGGTAAAAAGCTCCAAGACCAAAGTGATTCCAGCATGTTAAGCTTTACAGTGTAAAGACTGACAGGCTGCAGGAAATGTTTTTTTTATATGTCTGTCTGTGAGTTGCTCTTAGGTCTGTAGATGAAGTCATATTGCCACGCAATATTTTAGACAAGGCCACCTTTTCTTCCCCCGAGTGAATAAATATTTTTCTCTAAGTTTTAAAACTCCATTTATCTATTCATACTTCCTCTTAGTATTTGGAACACCATGCATTACTCAGTTATTTAAAAATGTTAAAATATACAGAATTACAACACTGAAATCATTAATTTATAGTCATATATTCTAAAATTTATAGTGAGACATATCCCACAGAGGCAGTTCCATGCATCTTGGCCTAAGAGATCCCCTCTGCTCTATCGTGTGCGCTTGTGATTGGCATCACATACGACTGAATCCTTGTGGTCTGCTGATAAAGATGCTCTTCTCGACCAAACTCTAGCTAGTCTCCTCTGAGCCCTCTTCTCACTTAAGCCTCGAACTTGGTCAATAAAGATGTAACCAAATACTACAATAGTTTCTAACAGCCCAGGGTCTGCTCCCAAGGATGACCTTAGTCCCCTTCAACATGCCTGTGTTAGAAAACTCGAGGGTGCCAAAATAATTTACTGTTTCTTCCAGGCAACAGCAGAACATAGGGTCCCTTTCTCCCACGTTCTGTGGAAGGGGAGGACCTAAATATTGACAGGTACCAGTTAAGAAACCCAGAAGGGTTTCACACTGACTCCCCTCAAACAACTTTCCACTTTTTGTAATTTTTCACTTCCCTGACTCTACTGAACCTTCACTTACACCCTTCCTTGTTCCTTCCTTTTCCCTTTAAAAAAAACCCAGTCACTTCTGTATAAATTAAATTCAGGCTGGAATATTCTCTGTGTTGCAATAGTATGTTACTGATTAAAATCTGTCCTGACCAAAAAAAATAAAATAAAATAAAATAAAATAAAATTTATAGTGAGACATATAAAAAAATTTCCCCCATATTCCAACTAAACCTAACCCCCCCTTGGCTGTGTGATCTGCATACCTCACACTCTATAACTCTATAAAAAAAGGAAAAGGAGAGAGGAAGAAAGTACAGTCCAAGCTAAAGATGTCTCAATGTAGTTCTTCCTATGTTTGGTTTAAAACTGGTCAATATTCCTATCAAAGGAGGAGGAAAAGGGATGATTTATTAAGTGCCAGGCAATGTACCAAAAGGGGGAACACAACCAAAAGCAAGCCTGTGAAGTCCATGTCTACAGTAAAAGAACTATTATGGTCAAAGAGCATAAGGATTTTTAAGGATGTTCTACCTTCTCAATACATTTTACCACTTAACTTTGAGAAAGACTGTATAGTAATTTATCACTAACAGAATACCACAGGACTTTTAACCAGGCATTGTCCTTCTCATTTTTGTCATCTATTTTCCAGTTTTGCAGCAAATACCCAGTTTTCGTGGCACTGCCTTTCTTAGAAGTGTGACAGAACTTTAAAATACGTTTATGAAACACTTGTGCATACTCTTTTGGAAGTACATGTTTATTTCTTTTATCCATTTCCTAATTGAAGTCTCACTACTTTCTTTATTATTTAGTTCTTGCATATTAAGAAGGCTGTTTCTTTTATATTTTATGTTAAGTATTTTTCCAGGTTGGTTGGTTGTCATATGTGTGTGTGCCTACATGCTCTATATGTGCATATAGACACATACTTTTGAAATAGAGAAACAGGTCTTGGACTGATATTTACAGAATCTATCAGGCCAGGAAAACAATAGATTATCCTAAGTTTAGTTTGCTTACTGCAGTTAGTGATTTTAAAACAAGTACCAGAAAGTAACTATAAATGTAGAAGAAGGCCTGGTTTCAAGTAACTATTGGAATTGTCTAGTGGTTCAGATGGCAAAGAATCTGCCTGCAATGCGGGAGACCTGGGTTCAGTCCCTGGGTTGGGAAGATCCCCCGGAGGAGGGCATGGTAAACCACTCCAGTATTCTTGCCTGGAGAATCTACACAGACAGAGGAGCATGACGGGCTATAGTCCATAGGGTCACAAAGAGTTGGACATGACTGAGTGACTAACACTCACTTTTTCTATTTTTTCACTCAATTAATATTTATTGGCATGGGTGTATAAAACAGGATTGAAATGGTTTTAAAGTTTCCAACTTGTCTACTGCATAAAATGAAATAAACATACTGTGACAGAATCAATTCTCTGTTTCACTTGCTGCATCTTCATTGAAGAATGTTCAGTGGGGACATAGTCATCAATCTGAAAGGATCCCTGATGAGACAGTTTAGGGCAGGTGCATAAAGTGTCTTGACTTTGGTGTATTCCAGGTAATGGAAAGGTTCCGTTGTAGCGTCTAAACATTTCAGCCTCCTGCTGGGCAACTGGAAAAAAAAAACAAATCCATGATTAGTTAATCATCACAGTAAAAGCACAACGGAAAAATTAAGCCATGAAACGGTAGCATTTAAACACATGATCAGAAAGTGCATAAAACAGTTTAAATACTGCATAATAATAATACAACACGACTGACAAAACCATAAAGAAGGAAATGAACTAATTTCACAGGTAACCTCATGTCAGGCAGTATAACTGAGCCTGGAAGACCATGCAGTTATCTTGGACTGGTAAATAGAGCATATTGGAATGGGACCCTAGCTTTAAAGAGATACATACAGAAAACATAGTACAAAAAAACACAAAGTAGAATTAAAGAAAATACAAAAACAATAAAAATGATTATTCACAAACCTATCTTTTAAAACAGCCGTTTTCATATTTCTATGCCCCTCCTAATCTTTATCCATATGTACATTTTATGTAAGGTATCAGTGTAAACACAATTTAAGTTTTTCAATTTAAATGTAATTTTTTTCTATTTCTACAACTGTATAATTACCATTTATAAATGCCTTACAATATCTCATTGAAAGAAGCATCACAGTTTATTTATGTATCTCCTATTGTTAAAATATTTATAAATGTTCTCTGTTTTCCCTCATTATAGACCATATGTAAGTAAAGAAAAGTGAAAGAAAGTGCTAAATTGCTCAGTCTGTGCCTGACTCTTTGCGACCCCATGGACTATAGCCCACCAGGCTTGTCTGTGCACGGGGTTTTCCAGGCAAGAACACTGCAGTGGGCTGCCATGCCCTCCTCCAGGGGATCTTCCCGACCCAGGGATCGAACTCAGGTCTCCTGCATTGCAAGCAGTTTCTTTACTGTCTGAGCCACGTGGGGCATATGTGAGTAAGTGCTTTCGCAATTTGTTTTTTTAAAGGAGTTTTTCCTTTGGATTAATTCTCCAGAGTGGAACAGATGGCTCAGAAGTTGAATGTTTTTGATGACAGTGGCGATGAGGAGGGGAAGGACGAGGAAGGAAATAGCACCTCTATTGTAACTCTGGGGTTTTCAGGATGCTTTCACAGGCATCTCATTTGATCATTTAAAATAAATGGATGTGAAAAATTTTAAATGCCTGTAAGTACAAAGGAGAAAAAAGTAATATTCCCTTGATTATATAATTATGCAACTTAAAAATCCATAGAAGAAACAATGGTAATTTTGGACTTCATAAAAATTTCAAAGTCTGTTCTCTAAAGCTCTTAAGACAGAAGAAAAGCCAAAGACAGGAATACTTGCAAGTCACGTATCTGATGGAGCACCATGTGTATAAAGGAAACCTAACTCTCAAAGTTCAATAATCAGACAACAAACAAGCTCATTTTACAACTGGGCAAGAGGTTTGAACAGACAGTTCACTGAAGAAGAAATATGGGTGGTAATACGGGCACACAAAAAGGTGGTTACCATCATCAGTCATTAAAGATAAGCAAACTAAAACCAAATGAAACCGCCCTCCACCCAATTACAAAGGCTAAAATGAAAAGGATTAGCCATTTCAAATTTTGAAAAGATACAGAGATACTGAAACATAGACTACTGATAGGAAAATTAAATGATACAACCAGTTTAGACAACAGTTGGCAGCTTCTTAAAACATATGTCTGCAATGAGATCTAGCCCTTCTGCTCTTGGGAATTTACTCAAGAGAAATAAAAACATATGTTTATAAAAACACATGTAGATGAATATTCATAGCATCTTTATTTGTAGTAACTAAAAACTAAATAAAACTCAAATGCCCATCAACAGGTGAATGGAAAAACAAACCATGATATAGCAGTACAATAAAATAATACTCAGAAATAAAAAGGAACTATTGATAAACTCTAAAACACAAAGTGTGTGCTTCTAAAACACTGTGTTTAGTAACTTTAAAACACAAAGTAAGACGAACTTCAAAGTAAGTATGAGTGAAAGAAGCCAGAACAAAAAAAAATGAGTATATGGCATATAGTGTTTCACTTATATACAAATCTAGAAAATTCAAATTAATTCAGTGTTTGCCTGGTGGGGGGAGGAGGTAGGGAGATGACTAAGGAGCACATAGTAACTCTGGGGATGATGGATATGTTCATTATCTTGATTGAGGTGACAGTTTTATAAGTATATAAATATGTCTTGACTTATCAGCATGTACTTTTAAAATATATGCAGTTTAGGGGGACTTCCCTGGAGGTACAATGATTAAAATTTTGCCTTACAATGCAAGGTGTACAGGTTGGGTCCCTGGTCAGGGAGCTAAAATCCCACATGCCTAGAGGCCAAAAAAACAAAACATAAAACAGAAATGATATTGTAACAAATTCGATAAAAACTTTAAAATGGTCCACACTTAAAAAACTAAAAAGAAAAAAATATATATATAGTTTATTGTCAGTTATATCTCAATAAAACTGCTAAGAAAAAGTGATAGAAGGGGTTATTATTCAGAATCCCCACCAAATCAATTAAAAATAAATAATCCAACAGAAAAATGGGCAAATGACCGTTATAGAAAAATCACAAAACAAGAACTATATAGCCAACCTTACTAATAATTAAAGCAGGAATAAGTAGAAAAAGGCAAATTGGAAACTGCTGTTTCTTTTATTGCCTATTCCACTAACCCACTGTACCTCAAGATATTTTTTTCTCAAGGAATAAACTGAGTAAGGGTAGGCAGGTGTAATACTAAAGTATTGCTTAAAATAATGAAAAACATATAACAGTGGAATTGTGCAACAACAGTTGTTTAAATAAATCAGTGTGTTCATTTAATGAAACGGAATTTAGCCACTAAGATTATGTACATATGTATAATTATCAAGATGGAAAGTTTCTCACAATATATTATTAATCAGAAGAAAAAAGTGTATAAAGCAATATCATGAATATACAAAAAGATGACCACTTTTTTTTTTTTTTAAGTTATCAACCTTGGTTTCAAGAAGTATGGACTTGAGAAAGCACATATAAACAATTTTAGGTCTTTTATATTCATGTACTACTTCATTCACAGGTTCTAAGTGAGGAATAGCTCAGGGACAATAGGGGCTCTCTGCCTGCAGACTTTGATAGTGGTAAGAACTGGGGACAAAACTGAAGAAGCCCACCTTACCACTCATCCTTGTAGTGATTCCTCAGCACCAATTTCTGTTCTCAGTTGGAAGTGTAGCTGTGTCAACACTTAGATTTTTGTGGGTCTGACTATTATCTTTCAGTATTCAGCCTGGACTTCTTTTCCTAACACTCAGAACATTTATCTACCCCCAACAGAAGACTGTTTAAAGAACAAAGAGAAAGTTTGAAGCTGTAGAAGAAAAGTGCTCAAAGACCGGAGGTTTAACACTAGGAGATGAGTCAGGGATGAATGAATCAAGATGCAAAAATCATGTCCCGCGGTCTCTGCCATATTTGCTTTTTAAAATTGTCCTTTTCCTACTGCATAGCCTAGGGAACTCTGCTCAGCGCTATGTGGCGGGCTGGGTGGTGGGAGTTTGGGGGAGACTGGATACCTGTATTTGGATGGCTGACTCCCTTTGCTGTCCATCTGAAACTATCACAACATTGTTAATTGGCCCCCGATACAAAACACAAAGTTAAAACAATAAAATTGGCCTTTTAACATTTCACTGGGTTCTGCTACTATGAATGGAAAGTAAAACTGGGTTTAACTAATTAATGGCATTTTCTGACTCCTTGCGTGGTCTAGTCACTAAGTTGTGTCTCACTCTTTGCGACTCTGTGGACTGTAGCCTGCCAGGCTCCTCTGTCCATAGGATTTCCCAGGCCAGAATGCTGGAGTGGTCTGCATTTCCTTCTCCAGGGGATCTTCCCAACGCAGGGATCAAACCCTCGTCTCCTGCATTGGCAGGTGGATTCCTTACCACTGAGCCAACAAGGAAGCCTGCAAATACACATTAGTCAACCGTGATTTCACTTCATTAGAAGCACCAATGCTGACATAAGCAAAGGCTATTCAGAATAGTAGGATTTTGGTAATATTTTGTCCTTCTTGCCAAACTGTATTTTTTAAGTATTATGCTTTGCTAAACATTTTTCTTTTAAAAAGAAATTTATCTAACAAGTAAAATTACAAAAGGCATTGCCTAAGTATTTGTTTCTTTATTTTTCCAAGCATTAAGATGCCTTTCAGAAAGGATTAAAAAGGCCTAAATGGATGCAGATAACAAAAATAAATCCCAGGCAATTATGAATTCTTATTTCTATTGTCTAAGGGGAATTTTCTGTAGAAAACCTATCTGACTGGATTTCAAGGAGTCAAATTAACATCCTACTTTATCTTTAGCTCCTCTAGTTCTGTGAAGAGCCATAAAACAATCTCCAGTAATATTCATAAAGACCCAGTTTCTCAGATACTACAAATAGGCTGCTTACTAGTTATTGTATTCTTTCCCCTCCTCCACCCACTTAGAAATATCTATTTGTACAAGACTGTACAGATTATTTTATTATAAAATAGATTATAATAGGTGGTTTCTGAAATTCCTTTAAGCTCTATGCTTCTAACACTTAAAGCTTTCTAAGTCATTACTATATAGGCCATAGTTAGAGTATGATGTTGCAATTTGATAACTGTAGTTGTTCATGTTGCCATTTTCTCTTCTTTGTGTTAATTCAGCTCTAACCTAACTAATTATGTTGAAAACTCACAGCTCTAACAGTCTCATCCCTATCCATCCATGACTTTGAGTAGTGCACTAGAGCAGGCCCTGGGAATACAAAGACACTGTCTGCCTTTTGGGGGTCTGAAGTTTTGGAGGTCAACAAGAAATTCCTGCTGTGTTCTGAGTGGTTCCGCAAAGCAATGGGCAAGGTGCTGAGAACACAGAGGTGACAACTACATTTGCTTAACGGAAATGTCATTTCCTTTCCTTCCTATATCCATCAAAATACTTCTAAATTTACCTTCTTTCATCTAAAATTTGGGATTCTACATTTTACATAATTTAAAAAGTTCTTAAAATGTTTTCAT